AGCTTATGCTCCCAATACTTCTGTTAGTCTCTGAAGAAGTGAGGTTCTTACCCACGAAAGCTTATGCTCCCAATACTTCTGTTAGTCTCTGAAGAAGTGAGGTTCTTACCCACGAAAGCTTATGCTCCCAATACTTCTGTTAGTCTTAAAGGTGCCACAGGACCCTCTGTTGCTTTTTACAGATTCAGACTAACACGGCTACCCCTCTGATACTAGACAGAACAAAGTAAGTTACCAAGGAAAATAAAACAAAACACGCAAGTCTAAGCCTAATACATTAAGAAACTGAATACAGGTAATATCTCACCCTCAGAGATGTTCCAATAAGCTTCTTTCACAGACTAGACTCCTTCATAGTCTGGGCCCAATCCTTTCCCCGGTACAGACCTTGTTAGTTCCAGCAGGCATCTTAGGTGAAAAGCAGGGGATTTCACATGAGTGGGAGGACCCCCTTTGTTCTGTTCCATCCCCTTTTATAGCTTTGGCACAAGGCAGGAATCTTTTGTCTCTGGGTCCCCACCCCTCCTTCTAAATGGAAAATCACAGGTTTAAGATGGATTCCAGTATCATGTGACATGGTCACATGTCCTGTGAGAACCCAGCCTTCATTCTTCCAGAACTGGCCTCACATACCCAGGAAGGTTTTCAAGTAAACAGAGCCATTCACAACCAATTGTCCTAGTCAATGGGAGCCATAAAGATACCAAGCCACCATTAATGGCCCACACTTTGCATAATTACAATAGGACTTCAGAGTAATACTTCATATTTCTAGCTTCAGATACAAGAATGATACATTCATACAAATAGGATAAACACACTCAGTAGATTATAAGCTTTGTAATGATACCTTACAAGAGACCTTTTGCATAAAGCATATTCCAGTTACATTATATTCACACTCATAAGCATATTTCCATAAACATATGGAGTGCAACATCACATAGTGTAGCTCGACTTACCACGGTAGTGTATACATAGCTTTAGTCAATGAGCCTACTCATGTGAGTGAGGAATATTCACAAGAACATAAGAACGGCCATACTGGATCAGACCAATGGTTTATCTAGTCCAGTCTCCTGTCTTCCAACAGTGGCTGGTGCCAGATGCTTCAGAGGGAGTGAACAGAATAGGGCAATTTATTGAGTGATCCAGCCCCTGCCATCCACTCCCAACTTCTGGCAGTCAGAGGTTTAGGGACATCCAGAGCATGGGGTTGCGTCTCTGACCATCTTGGCTAATGGCCATTGAGGGACTTATACTCCATGAACTTATCTAATTATTTTTTTAACCAGTTTTACTTTTGGCCTTCACAGTATCCCCTGATGAGTTAAACAGGTTGACTGTGCATCGTGTGAAGAAGTACTTCCTTATGCATTGGCCTGCTAAACCCAGGGTTATGAGTTCAATCCTTGAGGGAGCCACTGAGGGATCTGAGGCAAAAAAATCAGTACTTGGTCCTGCTAGTGAAGGCAGGGGGCTGGACTCGATGACCTTTCGGGGTCCCTTCCAGTTCTATGAGATAGGTATATCTCCATAGTAATTTCATTGGGTGACATTTGGTTTGTATGTTACGTGAAGGAGTAAATAACACTTCCTTATTCATTTTCTCCACACCATTCATGATTTTACAGACCTCAATCATATCCTCCCTCAGTCATCTCTTTTCTAAAATGAACAATCCCAGTGTTGTTAATCTCTCCTCATATGGAAGCTGTAAACTGTTCCATACTGCTAATCATTTTTCTTGCCCTTCTCTGTACATTTTCCAATTCTAATATAACTTTTTTGAGATGGGGCAACCAGATCTGCATACAGTATTCAAGATGTGGGTGTACCATGGAATTATATAGTGCAGGGGTCGGCAATGTTTGGCACGCGGCTCGCCAGGTAGCCTGCCAGGCAAGGCAGCCACAAGGAAATAAGTACCATCTCCGTGGCCAAAGAGACTTAGGAGCACCCAGCCTAAGAGATAACAGGGTGACTGAGGCACAGAGACCTTGTGGGGTTCCAGCCCTGCCAGACTTATGGCAGGCCGGGCCAGTTTATTTACCTGCTGATGCGGCAGGTTCAGCTGATCGCGGTCCCGACTGGCCGCGGTTCGCCGTCCCGAGCCAGTAGGGGCAGTGGGAAGCCACGGCCAGCACATCCTTCACCCGCGCTGCTTCTCGTCGCCCCCATTGGCCCGGGATAGCGAACCGCGGCGAGTGGGGGCCGCGATCGGCCGAACTTGCCGCATCAGCAGGTAAATAAACTGGCCCGGCCCGCCAGGGTGCTTACCCTGGCGAGCCGCGTGCCAAACGTT